CTCAATGAAATGTTTGCACAGCCACGTTTATAGTAGTGTTATTCATAGTAGCCAAGAGATAGAAGAAACCCAAATGTTCACTGATGAATGAATGAACAAATGTTTTATAAATATGTATATACACACACATAAAACATACATATACACACACACATAAAACATACATATACACACACATAAAACATACACATACACACACAAAACATACATACACACACGCATATAAAACATACATATATACACACATATAAAACATACATATATACACACATATAAAACATACATATATACACACATATAAAACATACATATATACACACATATAAAACATACATATACACATATAAAACATACATATATACACACATATAAAACATACATATATACACATATAAAACGTACATATATACACACATATAAAACATACATATATACACACATATAAAACGTACATATATATGCACACATATAAAACATACATATATACACACATACACACAACGAAATATTATTCATCTTTTATAAGGAAGAAAATTCTGTCATACGCTACAACATGGATGAACCTTGAAAACATAATGCTAAGTGAAAGAAGGCAGTCACAGAAAGACAAATCCTGTGTAAGTGCACCTATATTAAGTATCTAGAATCATCACATTTATAGAACATAAAGTAGAATGGAGTTGCCAGAAGTTAGAGAAAGGGGAGGGGGGAAAGGGGGAGTTGTTTCACGGGTTTGAGTTTCACTTCTGCACAATGAAAGTCTTGAGATTTGTCTCACAATAATGTGACTATACTTAACATTGCTGTACTGCACATTTAAAAATGGTTAAGATAGTCAATTTGTTATGTGTTTTTACCACAATGAAACAATGAGGACAGGAGACCCGGGAACAGAATTATTGAACTGTTTTAAAAGCTTCCAAATGGAGCGTTTCAGTAGGTTTGGACAGAAACACTGTTAAATATTTAAAAACACATCACCCTGTGATCAGTCTGCAGGAACATCAGGGAACATGGTCATTTACTTGCCAAGTGTCAACAAGAATCTTTGCATAATAGGTGGTGAGGGAGATGGAAAAATGAGTTTCACAATTTAGGACAGCACATTCAGTAATGTGGTGATGTCCTTACTATCTTTACTTTTTGTGAGAATTTTTTAGCCATGACAGCAATTGAAAGCAAGTCTTGAAAGAATATGCCTTCAAATTATTTTATTGCAAAAGGTCATTTTTTTTTAAATTAAAGGAGACTGAATTAAGTTGAATTCAAAATCCAAATAATAAACATATTTTAATTCTATCTTAATGAGAATGACTCATTATAATAAACAGAACTGTTAATAAATTTATTAAAACACGTATTAAACGTTTATTTCCTATTTAGGTTATCCTTTAAAAATTTCTTTGATTGTGGCTTGAGCTTTCTTACTGGCGGGCTACACAATATAACAAGTTTGGTGTCATTGCTATAGAATTCAGAAGTTTATTCACACCCACAAAACCTGGAGAACCATGTCCAATCTCTTCCAGGAATTCTGAATCCATGTAAGAAGAAGAGGCAATGATAGAAACGGAGTGAGGGAGGAGGAGAGCTGCTAGGGAGAAAACAGAAATATTTTTTTTCTAAAAAATTTTTTCCCAATGATCAAGAATAGCACTATATAATAGTTAAATTTCTGTGATGAAAATCTTCTGTATTTGTGCTGTCTGATACAGTAGCCACTGGCTATATGTGACTATTGAAATGTGGCACAGGGGACTGAAGAACTGAATATTAAATTTTGTTTAATTTGAATTAGATAAAATTTAAATAGACACATGTAGCTAATGACTACTGTGTTGGACAGTGCTGCAGAAAGTCCAGAAATAGACACTGGTGGGTAAGTAGGTGATGGGTAAGTCAACAATCGTTCTTTTTGAATAGAGAGTTGACAAATGACCCACTTATATTTTTTACCAATAAAATAATATAGAAACTTTCTAAGTTTCTCTCTAAATATTTTATTTCAAAACATTTTATTCTGAAAAGAAATCACAACTAAACTGTCTCACAGTTGAAAGAAAAATATGAAATGTGTGAACCCAGCAATGTAGAATGCACATGTGTCAACATGAAGTCAGATGATGCAGGGACACAGAGAACGACTAATTGGAATGACATTTGGGGTATGCAAAAGTGGCTTTAGATTTTCTTTTCTATCTTGATGAAAGATTTATAATTTCTGTTGTTGAAATTATAAATGGAATTGAAACTTATGTTTCACAATTTGCCTGCCTATGAAGGAATATACTTTTTGTCAATTTTATCATATTTCAGTTTCAAGTTATTTTTCCTGTGGGAAGTTGCAGGCTGGGGGATGTGCACCCCTTTTCTTTGTCTTTTTTTTTTTTTATTATCCTTCAAGTTCTGGGATACATGCGCAGAAGGTACAGGTTTGTTACAGAAGTATACACTTGCCATGGTGGTTTGCTGCATTCCTCAACCTGTTGTCTACATTAGGTATTTCTCCTAATGCTATGCCTCCTCTAGCCCCTCATCCTCCAACAGGCCCTGGTGTGTGATGTTCTCCTCTCTGTGTCCATGTGATCTAAGTCCCACTTATGGGTGAGAACATGCGATGTTTGGTTTCCTTTTCCTGTGTTGGTTTGTTGAGAATAAAGGTTTCCAGCCTTATCCATGTTCCTGCAAAAGACATTTACTCATCCTTTTCCACAGCTGCATAGGATTCCATGGTGTATATGTGCCACATTTTAAAAATCCAGTCTATCTTTGATGGGCATTTGGGTTGGTTCCAAGTCTTTGCTATTGTGAACAGTGCTGCAGTAAACATACATGTGCATGTGTCTTTAGAGTAGAATGATTTATAATCCTTTGGGTATATGCCCAGTAATGGGATTGCTGGGTCAAATGGTATTTCTGGTTCTAGATCCTTGAGGAATTGCCGCACTGTCTTCCACAATGGTTGAACGAATTTACACTCCCACCGACAGTGTAAAAGCATTCCTATTTCTCCACATCCTCTCCAGCATCTGTTGCTTCCTGACTTTTTAATGATTGCCATTATATCTCATTGTGGTTTTGATTTGCATTTCTGTAATGACCAGTGATTATAAGCTTTTTTTGTGTGTTTGTTGGCTGCATAAATGTCTTCTTTTGAGAAGTGTCTGTTCATATCCTTTGTCTACTTTTTGATGGGGTTGTTTTTTTCTTGTAAGTTTGTTTAAGTTCCTTGTAAATTCTGGATATTATCCCTTTGTCAGATGGATAGATTGCAAAAATTTTTTCCCATTCTGTAGGTTGCCTGTTCACTTTGATGATAGTTTCTTTTGCTGTGCAGAAGCTCTTTAGATTAATTTGATCTCACTTGTCAATTTTGGCTTTTGTTGCCACTGCTTTTGGTGTTTTAGTCAAGAAGTCTTTGCCCATACTTATGTCCTGAATGGGATTGCCTTGGTTGGTTTTCTTCTAGGGTTTTTATGATTTTAGGTCTTACATTTATATTTTTAATCCACTCCCTTTTTGCTTATAAAGTTCCTGTTGAGAATTCCACTAATAGCCTTATGGGAAATACGTGTCAAGTTTCTTCTCTCTTGCTTTTTTAAAGATTCTTTCTTCATCTTTGACCTTGGAGTATTCTCTTTTGAATTGATCTTGCTTTGGGTTCTTTTGAGCTTCTGAAATCTGTATGTTTGTATTCCTTTCAAGATTTGAAGTTTTCAACGGTATTTCTTTGAGTTTTTTGACTCCTTGTTTCTCTCTTCTCCTTCAGGTACTTCTATAATTCATGTATTTGTATGTTTGACAGTGTCATCACAAATCTCTTATACTTTATTTAATTATTTTTCTATTTGTTTCTCTACTTGGATCATTTCAAATGACCTAAGTTCATTAATTCTTCCTTCTGCATGATTGAGTCGGCTGTTCAAACTCTCTCCTTAATTTTTCAGTTCTGTTGTATTCTTCAGTTCCAGGATTTCTATTTGGTTCCTGTTTATGGTTTCTATTTCTTTATTAAACTTCTCATTTTGTTCATATGTTGTTTTCCTAATTTTATTTAATTGTTTATATTTTCTTGTATTTCACTGAACTTCTTTAAGATGATTATTTTGAATTATTTTTTTCAGGCAACTTGTATATCTTCTTTTCTTTAGGGTCAGTTATTGGAGCCTTATGGATTTCCTTTGGTAGTGTCATGTGAGCCTGATTCTTTGTTTTTTGTGTAGTCTTGCATTGGCATGTGTGCATTTGAAGGAAAAAAATCTCTTTCAGTCTTAAAGACTGGCTTTGACAAGCTTAAATCTTTTCTTTTTAGGTCTCTGGGCTGAAGGGATTGCCTCTGAGATTGCAATTGAGTGGTGTTGGGTCCAGGTCATGTGGCTGATTCTAGGTCCCCAGTAGAAACCACAGTTGGAGGGCTTATTCCCAGAGGTTTTAGTGGGTGCAAGTGTTATTTGGTGCAAGTGTTATCTTGTCCCTGGGTACTGAACTCTCTAGGACCTTGGTTTGTTGGGTTGGTGCTAACGTAAGCATCAACTTCAGGATTTGCAGATAGTGGGCCTATTACTAGGTACACTGATGAGTATGGTTTCCTCTGGGACTCTGAGAGAGCCTCTGTTGGATTACTGGATGATTCCCTGGGCTGTCTGTACTACCTGAGCTCATTGCTGGTATGGGCTAAAATTGAGATACAGGGTTGTTTCAGGTCCATGGCAAAGACCAAGATATTCAGGTTTGTCTCTGGGGTCACTGATAGGTGTCTCCCACTGGGTTCCTGGTTGAGCAGATTTGTTCTCAGATTGCAGTTGAGAAGAACTGGAGCCAATTTATAGGGCAACTTCAAGATTCACAATGTGACCAAAATCTGGGCATCAGCTTCCAGGGGCACTATTAAACATGCCTCTCTCTGAGTTCCCAGGCAGGCAGAACTGCTCTAAGTCCATAGATGAAAATGGTCAGGACCAATATCCAGGGCCATCTGAAGATCTGCTGAGAAATAGAGATTGCCAAGCTTAAGGCAGGAACTCAGATGGTCATGTCTCCCAGCAGGATCCTGCCTGGATAGACCTGCTCTTAAGACCACAGCTAGGAGAGGCTGAAACTGAGCTTCAGGGCCAATCAGAATCCGCTATGAGACCAATGTCAGCAAGCCCAAACTAGTGACAGCAGTGGTCCCAGCAGTTTCCTATGCAGGCAGATTTGCTTGCATATTGCAGCTAAGAGGAGCCGGAGCTGACATTCAGAGCCCTTTCTGGAACTTGTGGGATGGAACTGCTATGGATCAGAGTCCAGCAAGTCTGTCTGGATCTATCTCCTAGGAGTTTCCTGCATAGGTGGGGTAACTCTAAGGCTGTTACAGAGAGGAACAGGAGCTGAGACAGGACCCCTTTAAGGATTTGCTGTGGGATAGGGTCTGGCAAGCTTGCCCAGTTAGCACAGAGAGGCACATCTCCCAGAATTTCTCTGTGTCATCAGCATAGCTCCCAATGGGTGGGGTAGCATTGAATTTTAGGGGCTCTTCAGTCTCTGCTATGGGATAGAGAGTGGCAAGCCTACTAAGGTGACAGTCACAGAAGTCTCTCAGCTCTTCTCTGCATAGGCAGGATTACTCCCTGGCTATGGCAGAGTGGGTCCGGAGCTGAGACAGCGTCCCTTCAGGATCTGCTATGGGACGGAGGCAGATAAGCCTGTGCTGGTGGCTCAGATGAACAAGTCTCTCACTGGGCCCTTGTGTAAGCAGTACTAAGCAGGGACCAAAGCTGAGAAGGGCTGGAGTCAAGTTACAGGGTAACTTTCTGGTCCACTGCCAAGACCGATGTTGATGGGCAGATGAGTCTTTCTGCTGAGGCACTAGGGTCATTATTCCTCTGAACCCCAAGGCAGATGGTTTTTATCATAGGCTCAAGGCCAAACAGAGCTGTAGTCAAACGCTTCAGGGAGTGAAATCATTTCCGGGTTTGAACCCAGGACCACAACTGGCAGGACTGCAGACTGGGTATGGGTCTGCAGTCTCAAAATGACCCTCTCAGGTTTTGAGTTTCACCAAGATTCTAGAACCTTCAACCTAAATCCCATGGTTCCTACAAAAATACTTCTGTCTGTGGATTGGTGGAGAATTGTTGTGGTTTTGGGGAGATGTGAGTGAGTGACTCACTTCTTATTTCTTTAAATGCTAGGTAGAATTCAGCTATGTAGCCCTTCAATTCTGGGGTTTTCTTTGTTAGGAAGTTTTTGATTACCGATTCAGTCTTCTTATTAGTAATTGGTCTGTTTAGAGTTTCTATTTCTGCATGATTTTGTCTTTGTAGGTTGTATGTTTTCCGGAATGTATCAATTTCTTCTAGGTTATTCAATTTGTTGGTGTAAAGAATATCTATGTCTATAATGGGATAGTCTGCATCTATAAAAAAGAAGAAAATCCTACCATTTGCAGCAACATGAAAAAGCCTGGAGAATATTTTGCTAAATGGAATAAGCCAAATGTAGAAAGACAAATATTGTACGATCTCACTTACATGTGAAATCTTAAAGTCAAACTTATGTAAGCAAAGAGTAGGACTGTGGTTTCCAGGGGCTGGGAGGTGTGAAAAATGGGAAGATTTCGATCAAGGGGTATAAACTTGAAATTATACGATGAATAAATTCTAGAGATCTAATGTACAGCATGGTGACTATAATTGTATTGTTTTCTTGAAATATGATACAAGAGTAGTTTTTGTGTGCCTCCACCACACACACACAAACACACACACGGTAACTATAGGTGGTGATGGATATGTTAATTTGATTGTTAATACATCAATGTATGCATACATCAAATCATCATACTGTACACCTTGAATATATGCAATTGTTATTTGTCAATCAAATATTTAAAAAGAAAAGCAGAAGGATTTCTGCTTATAGGAAGATGTAGATGTACTTTTCCCAAAATATGATGGGAGGTGTGTTTTCTGTCCTGGTTTTGTTTGTTTGGTTTTTGCTTCATACATCTCAGACTAGAAGGTAAAGAAACTAGCAGCCTGGAAACGTTAATAGAGACGGAAAAAACCCCAAGTGAAGTCTGCTCTCTCCAGCCGAAGGACCAGGAACGCTTAGAAATATAGACGTATTTTAGGCAATAACTGTTCTACTCTAGCCAAACATCACGAAAAATGATGGCCCCACTCCCAGCCCTGCCAACAAATATTGAATGGAGGGCCTAGACTTTCAGCCTTGTCAGGCTATAAAATGACTGACATACTTCCTAAACAAGATGGTGTCAGAACAGATTAATTAGGGAGCCCAGACTTTCCTCTCCACTGGGAAATAATGAGGTGATCTCTTCACACCACAGTGTCAATGGAAACTACTTAGAAAGCCTGGATGTCTCCTCCACCTGGCAGTAATAAGGCTGTCCTCCCCTTATCAGGTGTCAGTGGAGATCAAGTGGGGAATCTGGACTTCTACCCACAGGTGAAAGTAATGAGGTGGTGCTCTTCTCCCCTTCCCTGCTGGAGCAGCATCAGAAGAAGTCAGCTAAAACAGGAGTTTTAAATAAGACCCAGAATTTCAAAATGCTCAGATTTTAATAGAAAAATCACTCATCATGCCAAGACCAAGGACGACCTGAGCTGAATTTAAAAAGACAATCAATTGGCTGGGCCTACCCTAAAAGAATGCTAAATCAGTTATCTAAACAGAAGCAAAACGATAAAAGCAGAAATCACGGACTATCGGGGGGAGGAAAAGAACAAGGTAAGCAAAAATGTAGATGGTTCCAATAGACTTTCATTCTCCACCTGAGTTTTAAAAATTATACTTTACATTTGAATCAAAAATCGTAACACTATCTGATGTGGTTCTAACTGTATATATGCACAGTGTAGGAATATATATATATCCACTCCAGATATATGCATTTATATTGAAATAATTGTAGCTTCACATGAATTTGCAAGAAATGGTAGATTCAATATATCCTTTAGCTAGTTTCTCCCTATAATAATTTTGAAAAATTGTAGTACGATATCATAATCAGGATATTGACACCGATACAGTCAAGATATAGAACATTTCAGCACCACAAGAATCCCTCATGCTGCCCTTTTATAGGCCCACTCACATTCCTTCCGTCCTCACCCCCTCGTTATATGGAGTATATATCTCTCCAGCTGCATTCGGGGACCTGGAGAAGCAGCCCCACTGGCCCACCAGTATACTCTCTATGCTTGCAGGATTCACAAGTTAATGAAACATCCTTGGCAGCACATTAAAGGCTGTGTTAACACCGCCCACTTCCTTGTGGATTAACTATGACAGTTTCAGTGACATAATATCACCCACAAACAGCAGAGAACTCTGAAATGGAATCATGTTGCTAAATTGTCCACCCACTACTCTCTCCCCCTGGTAACTGTTTTCACTGTTTCTTTATGTAGCCACCCCCTTTCTCAACCTCACCTAAAATATATTCTCTATTTAAAGTTGTTTTCAAATGTTTTGAATGTTCTGGGGAAATAATATAATAAGTACATGCAAGGTCTGTTGAGTCTGGTGCATACTGAGTATTATACACATTAGGCTGTGAGAGGCGGTTAAAGAGGGGGCTCACAGGGGAGAGGAAGAAGGGGAAAGAGGCCAAAAGGTGGAAACACCTGTTGTGGAAGGAGGAGATGCTCCCTATCCCTTTCCCACAGTCTTCTCAGGCTGATGGTGCTCTTCCTTACGTTTTATTCTTATGGGGAGGGCTGGGAACAGAGGCCAACTTTCTCTTCCCCTTAGGGAGAACACATTTAATATTAGGAAAATAAAAAGATTATTTACATTAAAAATAATGTAAAATTATTATAAACGTAATGAAAGTACTACTGCACACCTATAAGAATGCCCAATATCCAGAACACTGTCATCAAATGGGGCAAGGTTGTGGGGCAACAGGAACTCTCGTTCATTGCTAGTGGGAATGCAAAATGGCATAGGCACTTTGGATGACAGTTTGGGAGCTTATTACAAAATGAAACATACTCTTACCATAGGATCCAGCAATCACACTCCTTGTTATCTACCCAAAGAAGGTAAAAACTTATGTCCACACTTAATTATGCCTGTGGTTGATTATAGCAGCTTTATTCATAATTGCCAAAATTTGGAAGCAACCAAGATGTCCTTCAGTACGTTAATGGATAAACTGTGGTACATCCAGACAATTAAATATTATTCATTGGTTTAAAAAAAGAGGAACTATAAATTAGTGAAAAGACATGGAGGAAACTTAAATGAATATTATTAGAAGCCAATTTGAAAAGGCTGATACCAATTATATGACATTCTGAAAAAAATCACATGGTAGATTCATGTTTAATTTTTTTTTTTTTTTTTGAGATGAAGTCTCACTCTGTTGCCCAAGCTGGAGTGCAGTGGTGCAATCTTGGCTCACTACAACCTCCACCTACTGGGTTCAAGGAATTCTCCTGCCTCAGCCTCTTGAGTAGCTGGGACTACAGGCACGAGCCACCGTGCCCAGCTAATTTTTTGTATTTTTTTAGTAGATACAGGGTGTCACTGTGTTGGCCAGGCTGGTCTTGAACTCCTGACCTCGTGATCTGCCCTCCTCAGCCTCCCAAAGTGCTGGGATTACAGGTGTAAACCACCATGCCCGGCCAATTCATGTTTAATTTTAGCAGAGTTTGCCAGTCTTCCAAAGAGGTTGTACCACTTTATGCTTCCATGTATGAGAGTTCTCGTTACTCTCCAGCCTCACCAGTACTTGATCTCATCAGTCTTTTATTTTAGCCATTCTGGAGGGTGTGCAGACGTATCTCTGTAGTTTTAATTGACTGTCCCCTGATAAGTAGTGATGTTGAGCATTTTAGGAAGCATCCTAATGTAGAATGTCTTTGAAGGACCAGACATCTACATTTTCTTGTCTCTCTTTTTTTTTTTTTTGTCCAGATAATTTGTTTTAGAATATCTCTTTGAGCTAGGCTCCAGAATTGTACTACCTACAATTCAGAATTAAGGAAGACCTATAAGCTAAGCTGGCACTCCTGATAAGATATCTTCCACCTTCCACAGTTCCCAACGTTAGGAATGTGAGTGATGAATTAAAATGAGCAAGGAATCATTAGGAGGAAAGTCGGGAATTTCTAGAACAAGGACTTAGAAACTTGAAGAACTGGAATAATACATCTGTGGATAGAGGCTTGGGATAGAAAAGGATCCCACGAGCTATCTGTGAGATCCAGTATTGTACTCACGGTTTTTTATTTTATGTACAGCACTTGGACAATTTTCAAAAAATTATTCCTCATAAGATTTGCCATCAAATTAGTTGGCTTAATTAGTGTTCGTAAAGGAACGGGAACGAGGTCAAGATAGGAAAAACCAACAAATCCTTTACCTTAGTACATCTCACATTGTAATGTGCACATGAATCACCTGGGGATCTCGTTAAAATGAAGAGCCTGATTCTGCAGTCTCAGGGGAGAATCTGCATCTCTAACAAGCTCCCAGGTGATGCTGATGCTGCTGGTCTGCAGAATATACTTTAAGCAGCAAGAGTCTAAACTTTTACACTCTAAATCATTTATATATGGCATTTAAAATGTTTTTCTTAAGAAAGAGCTAAGGACCTTCTCAGATCCAAATGTTTTTATTTGCTTTTGATTTTTTGTTACATTTGGCTAATAATGCCCTCATAGCTCTGATTATGTTTAATCATGGTTAGTTGTTGTTTTAGTTTGTGTTGCTTTAAAGGAATACCTGAGGCTGGGTAAGTAATGCTGAGAAAGGCGTATTTGGCTCATGATTCTGCTGGCTGGAATTTTGGGCATCTGATTAAAGCCAAGGCTGCTTCCCCTCCTGGTGGAAGGTGAAGGGGAGCTGGATATATGCAGAGATCTCATGGTGAGAGAGGAAGTAAGAGAGAGTAAGGGAGATTCCAGGCTTTTTTGAGAGGGAGTCTCGCCCTGTCATCCAGGCTGGAGCTCAACGGTGCAATCTCGGCTCACTGCAACATCCACCTTCCGGGTTCAAGTGATTCTCCTGCCTCAGCCTCCCAAGTAGCTGGGACTATAGGTGCATGCCAACACGCTCAGCTAACTTTTGTATTTTTAGTAGAGATGGGGTTTCACCATATTGGCCAGGCTGGTCTTGATCTCTTGACCTCTTGATCTGCCCTCCTTGTCGGCCTCCCAAAGTGCTGGGATTACAGGTGTGAGCCACCGTGCCCAGCAGCCAGGCTTTTTTTAACAACAAGGTCCCTCAGGAACTCATAGGAGAACACACCCATACTTGCCCCCAGGAAGGGCATTAATCTATTCACGAGGGATCTGCCCTCCTGACCCAAACACCTTCCATTAGGTCTCACCTTCAACATTGGGGATCAAATTTCAACATGAGGTCTGGAGGGGACAAATATTCAAACTATATCAAGTTGTTAAATGTCAGCTTACCCATCACGCTGAATTCATTGTTTATAGATACTGTGTCTCATTAAATTTTGTTACCCTAGCATTCCATTCTTGGTAGGAATTTAACAAGGCATTTGAGTCAATAAGCGATGAATCAAATAAATTGTGGTTGATCCGTGCAACAGAATATTATGTAGCATTAAATTAAACAGGCAGATCTATATGCATTGCTGCTGGAAGAGGTTCATCTTGCCCAGCCTGGGGATAGCATAGAAGTTAGCAGGAACTTCCTGGAAGTCAATTCTTAAGGATGAGTAGCCAGGAAAATAAGAGGGAATTTCTGGGAAGTCATGGAAAAGAAAATGTGTGTCATTAGCTTTATGGTGAAGATTGTTTATCTGTGCATGGGAGACAGCAGGAAAATCCTTTGATGGAGAAATAAAGCAGTGGGCACAAGACCCCAGAGCACCACAGGGCAGCGTGGAGAGACTGAGATGTGGCTAGAGTCACATGGGATCCCCAGAAGGACACTGTGTCCCGCAGTCTCTCATGCATCCCACACTACAGTGCACTCCACTGTGCCGACTCCTGCTGTCTCGTTTTACCCCTCTGTAAACTGTGAGGCCCACAGTTTCCATCAGGTGATGAAAAATATCCTGTGTTGAAGGTGAAAACCAGGAGCTTGCCTGGCTCTTGGAGGAGGAGAGGATTCTACTGAGCTCTGAAGGATGGTTCAGGCCTGGGCTGGGAGAGAAGAGGAGATGTCCGTTTAGGATGTGAGTGCTGTCTCTTGGAGGTTGGGCATCCTGACACCCTGCTCTAGCCCTGGCTTGCTCATCCATCCATCCATTCATTCATGCATCAATTATTTCATTTAAGAAAAAGTGTTGAGCACCTACCTACTTTCAGGATAATCTGCTTGGCATCTTTCTTAGAGTGGCATTCCCAACGGCAGATTGTCCAGCATGGCAAGTCTATTTCTCACTTTCCTAGAAATTCATATGGCAAAGAGGTGGTATGGGTTAGAAGTTTTGAAATTTCTATTTTCAAACAATTTACATCTCTGACTTCCCCAGTTGCTCCCTAGTGCTCTGTTGACTTCAGACTGAACCTCTGAACTGGAAATCAGGGGAGGGTCTCATCCGGCTGGTGTTCTCTGAATACCCTTAGGGAAATAAACAAAGGGTCTATGGCAGTTGTGCTTGCTCCCCCTACTTCTCAAAATCTGCTTTGGGAATAGAATTGCCAGACAGAGGCAACATTTGGACATACTTGTTCCAAAACGTTATTCATTTTTATCTGAAATTCAAATTTAGTTGAATGACATGTATTTTAATTTTTTTTTTTTTTTTTGGAGACAGAATCTCACTCTTGCCCAGGCTGGAGTGCAGTGGTGTGATCTCGGCTCACTGCAACCTCCGCCTCCTGGGTTCATGGGATTCTCCTGCCTCAGCCTTCTTAGTAGCTGGGACTACAGGTGCATGCCACCATGCCCAGCTGATTTTTTGTATTTTTAGTAGAGACGGGGTTTCACCGTGTTAGCCAGGATGGTCTCGATCTCCTGACCTCATGATCCGCCTGCCTCGGCCTCCCAAAGTGCTGGGATTACAGGCATGAACCACCAGGCCCGGCCATTTTAATTTGTAAGTCTGACAGCCCTACTGCCAGGGAAAGGCTCTCTCTGGCCTGAGAAAGGTTATGAGTTTCATCTCTTGGGTTTTTAGGAGGCCTCTCCCCGTAAAAGATCTTCCAACCATGGCAGTCAGGGCCTGGCTAGAGGAGCCTGCTGTTGACTCTCCTCACCTTGCCCTTGTAGGGTGCAGAGAATGTGGATGGCTCAATGTGAACTGAAAATCAGGAGACCTGAATTCCAGACCATAGTCTGCCAGCAAGGTCACAGAACCTGGTGCTGGCAGACTCTGGGCTTGATCTCCTCATTTAGAGACAGTTGAGGATTCTATGGACTGTTCAAATTCAAATATCTTACCTGGATTTAGCTTCAGAGGGCAACTGGGACAGGAGCATTTGTCCATGTGTCTTCTGTGTACTCACCAAGGGCGCTCTCTCTCTCCTCTCTCCTCTCTCCTCTCTCCTCTGTCTCTCTCTCTTTCGCTGTGTGTGTGCTTGTGTGTGCTAGGGGTTGGATGAGAGATGCCAAACTGCCTGAGATGATGCAGGACATGGTCTGTTAAGAGCCACCTGCCATGCTTTTTTGATTTTGTTCAACTCCTGTACTGACAGTGGCAGTCAGTGGGGGAGAGAGTAGTTGGGAGTTGCCCCATTTCTATCTCAGTTTAACTTCCCCAGAATGACTCCCCCCAACCTTTCTCACTCCCTGGCGAAAAACGAAGGTTCTTTCTTCTGTCCCTGGAATAAAGCAGGCTGGCAAAAAGGAACAAAGGCACAATGGGGGGTTGTTGAGCTGAGCTTGAAAGGGCTCAGCGGCAAGGGGCCTGGCTTCTGCTCCAGGTGCCTGGGTCCAGGTCACTCCATCTGGGAAGCTGCTCCTGGCTATTCACTTGTTCAATATCATTCTGAAACACAAGACAAGGAGGAGAGGCAGAGCTACAGAGAATCTGAGGAGAAGCCTGAAAAAGAACTGCAACAAGGGGAGAGAGAAGTGCTACCTGTCAAATACTACCTTTTTTTTTTTTTTATGGAGTCTTACGCTATTGCCAAGGCTGGAGTGCAGTGGCGTGATCTCGGCTCACTTCAACCTCTGCTGCCTGGGTTCAAGCCATTCTCTTGCCTCAGCCTCCCAAGTAACTGGGATTACAGGTGCCTATCACTGTGCCTGGCTAATTTTTGTATTTTTAGTAGAGACAGGGTTTCACCATCTTGGCCAGGCTGGTCTTGAACTCCTGACCTTGTGATCCACCTGCCTCTGCCTCCCAAGTGCTGGGATTATAGGCGTGAGCCACCGTGCCCGGCCTAAATGCTGCTTTTGTACCTGACTCTGGGATCACAGACATTTGGCAGGACAGAAAGAGACACTAACTGAAAAAGTTTGGGTAAAGCTCACCCAGGGCTGGTAAAGAAACCAGCACATTGTCAGAACTGCCTAGAAAGACAGAACACCAGGAGAATTGAAGCATCTGTTGCCCTGACACAGAACAGTGTTGGCTCTTGGTTTTAAGAGAGAAGTTGGTATGTGTTGCTGTGTCAGTCTGTTTTCACTGCTATAACAAAATACCACAGACTGGGCAATTTATAAACAATAAAAATTTACTTCTCACAGCTCTGTAGGCTGAGAAGTCCAAGATTAAGGTGACAATGGGTCCAAGTGTCTGGTGAAGGGTGGTCTCTGCTTCTAAGATGATGCCTTGAACATTGCAACCCCCCACATGGTGGAAGAGCAGAAGAAAACAAACCCATTCCTTCAAGCTCTTTTAGAAGGGTTCTAATCCCATCCATGAGGGATCTTCCTGCCCAGATTAATCACCTCCTAAAGGGCCCACGTCTTAATACTATCATTGGCAATTAAGTTTCAATCTGTGGACTTTGGGAAACTCAGGCAGATCGTAGCAGTGGTCTTGGACACTGCTGTTGTGCCACCCAGCTCCCCTGAGATTCCTCTTATCATCCTCTGGTGGCGTCCTCTGCCCCTTGTGCTTTGTTGCTAACAGTGGCACCTGTGCCTTTTGGAAGATTGTCTTGGACAGTGGAGCCCAACAATGAGCCAGAGGAGACTTGGAGTTTCATGCCCTCCCCTGAGCCTTCTCCCTTCCTAGCCCAGGACGGGTGTGGGAGTGCAGAAGCTCGGCGCCCAAGGCAAGACACAGTTTGAGACGTTGTATATGTTCCAGAGCTCACCATGGGATCAGGCTGAGGCTGGGGCTCCACCCGAAATGCACCCCTTTCTTGGCTTCTTCCTCCTGCTTTCCATACTTTCTTGTTGATTTCTCCTTAATTAATTAGTTATCTAATTATTTCTCAATTGACCACTTATACCTGAATGCCTGTCTTGGGATCAGATTATGATGTGATTATGATAGTGGGGAAACTCCAGGAAGACATTTCAATTAACACCCCAGGTTCTCAGGAAGGAGAACAGCTTCAACGGGCCATACCCCAGAGCAGAATTGTCATTTAGAAAAGACAGCAGATCTCTGCTGGAGGAGGAGGGGTGGATGTTAGGACGAGGGGCTCCTAGAGGTCAGCATCATCATCTCCAATGATTGTGTCTTCACTTGGAGATCTTTGAAGAAATTTACATGGGGGAAAAAAAAGAGAAATTTATGTGGGAGACTCTAGATTTATTCCGCAAAAGCATGTGTTTTAGATTCAGGCAGATCTGAGTTCATGTCCCACTTTTCAAAGATTGTATTTATTTAAGGTGTACAGCATGATGTTCTGACATACATATGCATAGTGAAAATATGACTATAGTTAAGCAAATTAACAGGTACATCTTTTCACAGGGTAAGAGTATCTGAAATCTACTCTCAGCAAATTTTCTTTCTTTTTTTATTTATGGGAATTTTTAAATAAAAACAGGAAAATGTACATGTTATAATGTCAATTTTTAAAAGAGTAACTCAAGATTATATAAAATTTGTTGAAAAACTGGAGGAAAATATGCCAGGATGTCAACAGTAATTTCCTCTGGCTCATTTGTTTTCATATATATATTTCTGTGCTTTCACAAATTTCTTTTTTTTATATTAATTATTTTTATTTTTTTATTTTTTTTATTGCATTTTAGGTTTTGGGGTGAGCAAATTTTCAGTATACAACAAATTTTCAGCAAGGTCACCTTGCTGTAGTTAGCTCTCTGGGCTATTTCATCCTATTTAATGGCAGCTTTGTGCCCTTTGACCTGCCTCACCCATGTCTTCCCTCTCCCCACCCCAGGTGGTCTCTACTCCGCTCTCTACTTTTATGTATTCACATGTCCCACTTCTGATCCGTACTGGCAGTATGACCTGGGACAAATTACTCAACCTCCCTGAGCCTTAGTTTCCTCATCTGTAAAATGGGAGTAATAGTGGATCACAGCTCAGAGGGCAGTTGAGAGAGTTCCATGTGCCTGCTATGGTAAACATGTTGGTTCTGGTCCCTGGGTCTCGGGTTAACATAAAAGAGAAGTCCGGGATATCTGATCGGGAAGTCTTTCCAAAGTGGGACATGCCAACTGCTAAATGATGCAGCTGGTCCATGATTTTTGCAAGAGTTGTTATGGCAACCATATTTTTTTAAGTCACAAAATTGGCAAAGGATGTGAAATTGGGACTATGTGACAACAAGAAGTGCTGGAATGACATAAATAGACCTACAAAAGAGAAGAAGTAGCAGCAATTAAGAATATGAGAAGCAGGTACAGAAATGCATGTTAAGGGTGGGATAGCTGTATGGGACCAAGTGGGGGTCAGGAAGCTGTCCCTGGTTTGGACAGAAGGAGAAGTGTGAGTTTGGAATAAGCATTGTCACATAGTCTCTCAGGGGTGCCTGAGCCATTCTGCTTCTTGTTGGGCATCCCCTGGAATGAGAGAACAGACTGTCTCCCAAGCGATTCACTTTACTGTCCTAACCGATTGGACAGGGGTCCTGTCTTGGGCTTTTTATTCCTGTGGTCCTCCTTCCTTGTGCTGTGTCCCACCTGCCTGTGTCTTCACTGACAGCTTCCTGGGAGAGACAAGCCTTCTCTGTTCTCTTTCCATAAGTTCCCAGTAACACCTGGTATCAGAGAAGTGCCAGGAATCCCCCTTCTCCACTTTCCCCTCCCAGGAATGGGAGAATATCAGTCACAGTCTCACTTGCAGCTGAGTGGTTGGAATAGAAATTTAGCAATTTGCATCATGAAAGTCATGGTGCCTGGCGGACACCTTGTGAAATGCTTAAGAGAAGCTCCCCTGTCAGGAGTCCAGGAGAGCCTGAGTCTGGGCTCAATAGGGCAGAAGCTGTCATGATCGTAGGAGAAATGAAGGGCCTGCCATGAGAGGGGTAGGCTGCTTGTTCAGTTTCCACCCACACCCACACACATGAAGGCATCCTAAGCCCTTCTCTGCACTGCAGAGGTTGACCCTGTGAATGGCACTTTTGAGATTCCCTTGACAACTAGATTCTTCTTGGGCTTGACCAGTTGGAGGTATCTGAGACTGAAGGGCAGATGGAAGGAGAGATCCACCCCCAATTCCTGCTTTGACTGGCACCATCCCCCCAGGAACAGTCCCTTAACCTAGCTCCAGCTCTCATTGGGCTCCTGTGCTGCCATTTCCTTCCCTTGCCCCCACCACCAGTCCTAAGGGCAGTAATGCTGCAGTCTGTTGCTTGTCTTTGGGACCCAATTACCCTCGTTGGTCCCATTAGCTCCAACCATACTGCTGAAAATAGCACCTTTATTAAAGGCTTCTCAGTTGAACCAGCTGAGTTGAATTTGTTTCTTTCTAAGATCCTGATGGGCACATGGAGAAAGAGTAAAGGTTCCAAGCATCCTGATTTGGGTGGGACTGGCTTTTTGAGACAGCAGGATGTAGATTGGAGGGGAAGAAAGACTGGAGTAAATTGGGAAGCTACAGGGGCAAGGCCCAGGAATCAAGCCCAAAGTAGAGCTGGGTCACATAAGTCTAAATTACAGGTCATCGTTGCTGGTCTATGCTGGTGCTAAAACCTGGAGACGGCCCTCTGGTGAAACAGGAGGCAGGAGTCTCTGGGCAATGGAGATGGCACAGTTGCATCTTCATTCTGGGGAATCCTTCTGCATCCATCAGGGCTCAGTCCCAATGGATTGGGGAGCCCAGAGCTGAGCATGGGGCTAGAACCAGCAATGGGCTCAGAGTCATGAGAGAAACTGAAGTGGGTCACATAAAGGCATGGGGTTCAGGGTTACTCCTATGGTCTTGGGGGCTTTGTATGGAAGAGTCCAGGGCCAGGCAGGAATGGACACAAATTAGCTGGTGACAGCTGTGTAGGGACAGAATCTGAGCCCATGAACAATGCAGCTTTGGCCCACTCTTTGGTGTTGGTAAGAGAAGGAAGGGATTATTACTGTGATAAAGATGGATGAGGAAGTCTTCATGAAAGCAGTGCTTCTGGCACAGGGAGGACAGTTGCAGAATATCTTTAGGAAGTGAAGTGCTAGTGTGTTATGCACAGTGGAGGAGTTCCGTTGGTAATACTCAGTATTTGACTGGGCTTAGGAAGAGTTCCTCATGGGCCAGCCTCCCAGCCTCCCGGCCTCCCTGCCTCCGGCCTCCCTGCCTCCCGGCCTCCTGACAGGAGTTTCTCTGAAGTCCTTCACGAGGTATGCACCTGGCAGTATCCAGGCCATCATGGCGCCCAGCTCCGCTCCTACTCACTTCGCTGATGGTGACCCAGGCCTGCCTGACCCCTGGACATTGTTGCTTCTCTCCAGGCATCAGCATGGGGCTGAAAGGAGTTAGGCCACAGTTCCTTTCCCATCCTGATCATGTCCCTTTCAGCATCTCTACCATAGAATGTGCTGGATAGGTTGAAGATGTAAATGTTTTGGAAAAAAAAAAAGCCAAGTGTGTAAAACTCTCAGTTTATTTTTCTATAGCTGAGATTAAATTAG